GCTCCACCGATACTATGATAAATATTAAGTTACCCTTTGCCTACTTTGTTAAATCCAGGTTAGTGTGCCGGTTAACCACACACGCTCCACTAACGGTTTAAACAAAGTGCAAAGTGTAATTTCATGGATTAGCACCTTATTCACATTTTCCTAAGTAACTAAGATTGGGAATTAATAAAAGGTTTAGTTACTTAGTATTTATCATTAATACTTTTAATGAAGGGAGAATTATAGTCCTTGTCCTACCTGTTCGGCTAACGACCCTCCACCAGTCAAGGAAGCGGTGGGTGAGAGTGGACACCCATTAAACTGCCATTTTATAGGCAACAACCTTATACCCCCCTTATAGACCGGCTTCGTGAATGAGGCCTACTAATGGTAAGACTGACTTGCTCTTATACATATATTTATTATTAACTTATAATACTATAAAGTATAAGGGTTGAATTTTAACTTTTAAAATTCTAAGGGCTAACTTGGAATTAAAGTATTCATGGGGAAAACTTTACAAATTCCAAAACTTGAGGGCAAGTTTTGAAAATATTCAAAACTAATTAATTCCATAACTTATGTGTTTAAAGTAGTTTTAATTAAAAAAAAACTCTTCAAGTTCCATAACTTGAGGACAAGTTATGGAAGACTTTAAACTAATAAAAGAATGTAACTTTTCTTTATTTTTGTAACTTATGGAACTAATTAAGGTTACACATTTTATTATTTAATGAAGTGACTCTTGAACCTCCATAACTTGAGGACAAGTTATGGAGTCATAAAACCATTTAATGAGGACAAGACTCTTCATTTTTGTAACCATTGCCAACTTTTTATGAGTTTTATGAAACTTAAATGTGACTTTTCATGTAACTTGAGGACAAGTTACAAAAACACACTTTAGAATCAACTCTTAGATTAAAATGGATTGAAAACACATAATCAATTAACTTTTCTATTAATCTAATAAACTCATATGAACAAAGATAATTCACATCAATTTTTTTTTCAAGTAATTAGCATAACTTTTAAACCAATACAAAACATGAATCTATTGACAATTATCTTTGAAATTGGATTAGCATGAACATTACCACATCAAAAACAAGTTTATAAGTCCAAAAACATCTAAGGGTAATGTTCCTAGTCCATTTCTAGCCAAAACAGTCGAATATATGCTGTCAGGGGTTCCAAAATTCGATTTTTCAGCTAATTTTGCAAGTATAAGAAGAAAACAAGCCTTGGCTCTGATACCACTGATGGGTTTTGAGAATTCTAACACTCCTAAGTATACATGTAACCCTAAATACCTTGGATCTATGTTTTCTCTATTATACATGCAATTATGAACTTTCCAAGGTATTACCCTATCTAGCATACAATACTTGATACTTGGGTAATCAAATGGATATAGTACATACCTTTGTTTGATGTAGCTTGTCTCCATGAAGCTTGAGTGCCTAGTGCCCCAAGTGTGACACCTCAAATGGTTCACACAACACCAAATGCACATGGAATGACTTGAGAGAAATGGAACACTCCTTGAAATCGTCTAGCCCTCATATTCACACATTAGTGCACGATTTCTTGAGCCATGGGATTCTTTTATATGGTGGCTATTAGGGTTACACCATGTAACTCATAACTTTACCCATTCCTTATGCTCAATGGATTTTAACCTCCATGGAGTATCCATGGGTCACCCCATGGACTTAGTCCAACATAAGGAATCTTGGATCACAAGCCCACATATATAAGAATGAATGATTTACACAATCAACCCATATATTTAATTAGTCTCCTTTTGATCACTTAATTAATTCCAAATTAATTCTTGATCAATACTAATTAAATAACCTTATTAATATATTAGAACTTATAATATATTAACCAACCTTAAGTGTTATTTCTCTCATTATAGTCTATCCAAATGCATGATGCCATGCAACCGAAATGGACCATGCCGGGTCGGGTCAAGTCTTACCAATTATAGTTATGGACTTAGACATTAATCCAACAGATTTTACTAGGTTCACCTGGGTCTTCTTCCTTAGGCTCAAGTCAGAAACAACCTCGAAACTCATCAACTTTATCAAAGGAATTAAAGTCCTCGTCAAAATTCCTATGAGACGAATCCGAAGTGATAATGGTTCGGAGTTTACCAATGCCACTATTGAGAAGTTCCTCACCGATAAAGGTATTGACCACAACTTCTCTGATCCATACACTCCTCAACAAAACGGTGTAGTCAAAAGACGCAACAAAACACTATTGAAGCTGCTCGATCCATGCTTAACTTTGCAAATCTTCCACTCTATCTTTGGGCTGAAGTTGTCTCAACTGATGCTTCACTCAGAATAGGAGTATTATCAATCGACGGCTCAATATGAGACCATACGAAGCCATGAACGGTCGGAAGCCAAGTATCTCTTTTCTTCATGTTTTTGGATGTATATGCTTCATCAAAAACAACCGTGATCAGCTTACAAAGTTCCAACACAAAGCTAATGAAGCAATCTTTCTTGGGTACTCTCCAAAATCAAAGGCTTATCAGGTTCTTAATCGACGAACTCATGTTCTTGAAGAAAGCTTTGATGTCACCTTTGATGAGAACTTCGTTCGGAATTCTGGCCCAACCCATGTCACAACTCACATCATAGAGTCCGATCTCCAGCGCCAGGATGTCCAAACCAACAAATAATTTACGAAGTTGACTTTGAAACCCTGTTCGGACCTTCAGAAACAGCTCTTGATTCGGAATCTTGAACAAGACAAACCTCATCAACTAAAGCTCCTGTTTCAGGTCTGACACCCAACTTTCCTCCATTTGATTCTGAACCGTTACAAACTTCACAGGTTGAGGGGGAGAATGGTTAACCTTCCCTTGAATCAAACGTAGATGGATTCCTAGATGCAACTGATCAATTTTCTGAATTTGATCCTCCAATCAACAACGCTGATGATGCAAATTTCTTCGATTTCCCACCTGACAAAGATGTAAACTTATCTGGTTCAGAAGTTCAGGGGGAGCATCGTCCCCAAGTTCAAATTATTCAGGGGGAGCAACACAACCCCATTGTTGGTATATGATCTTTAGCTGTACAAGAGCTTTCGAGACTACACATATGAACTAAGGATCATCCTCCGAACCAAGTTATTGGAAATCCAAACTGCGGTGTACAACTTCGTTCTGCCACAAGTATTCAAATTGAATGTCATTTTTGGGCATTTATCTCTATGGTTGAAACCAAATCCATCAAGTTGGATTACATCCATGCAGCAAGAATTGGGAGAATTTGATAGAAATGAAGTGTGGACTCTCGTTCCTCCTCCTCAGAATCATCCCATTGTTGGTACAAGATGGGTGTTTCGAAACAAGCTAGATGATGCAGGAGTTATCATTCAGAATAAAGCAAGATTGGTGGCCAAAGGTTTCACACAGATCGAAGGACTTGATTACGAGGAGACCTTTGCTCCTGTTGCCCGTCTTGAAGCTATCAGAATCTTCCTTGGTTATACTGCTTACAAAGGATTTAAGGTTTACCAGATGGACATCAAAAGTGATTTTCTAAATGGTGAACTAGATACTGAAGTATATCTCCAACAGCCTCCCAGTTTTGTCAATCTCTCATATCCGAACTACTGTTTCAAACTCCAAAAAGTTGTTTATCGCCTCAAGCAAGCTCCTTGCGCTTGGTACGAGACTCTCACTGACTTCCTCAAGCGTTTTGGTTTTCAAAGAGGTATTCTCGATCCTACCCTATTCCAAAGGTCAAATGGAAATCACCTCATGCTTGTCCAAATTTATGTTAACAATATCATTTTTGGATCCACGGATTCATCAATGGTTGTTGATTTTGCCAAACTGATGGTCAATCGATTCCAAATGAGTATGAATCATGAATTGAGTTTCTTCCTTGGTCTCCAAATTAAACAAACCAATCGAGGAATCTTTATTCACCAACAAAGTACATCTCGGAGCTTCTCAAGAAATACTTAATGGGCACCTGTGCCTCTGCCAAGGTACCTATGGGTTTCAGACACAAAATCTTCACTACAAGAAAAATGGGCATCTGTGACTAAAAATTTAGAGACTGATTAATCAGTCTCAGATACCATGTATTTAGGATTGATTAATTAGCCCTTGATACTATTGGGGACTAATTTAATGTGTGAATCATTAGAGACTAAACAAACCTATTAGAGACTGAAATTCAGTCCCTTATATATTTGTACCAAATTACATTTGGAGGGTATCTTATTAGGGACCGAATATCAGTCTTTGATATACATATTCAGTTTTTTACTTTGGAGAGAAACCTCTTAGGGACTGAATTTTAGTCCTTGATAGATTTGCAGTGGTTTTCATTTATAAATAAACTTATTAAAGACTGAGTTTTAGTTTCTGATAGACTTGCACCAATTATGATTTTAGAAGGATACTTATTAGAGACTAAATTTCAGTATCTAATAGATATGTATTACTTTTCATTTAAATGGACACTTATCATGGACTAAAGTTTTTTTATTTGAGCCTAATTAACAAGTCATGAATACCATGTATCAAGTGGGGAAATAATCACAAATACTAGTTAGAAGGATATTTATTGGGGACTGAATTTCAGTCTCTGATCGATATGCCTCAATTTAGATTTATAGGGACACTTATCAATGACCGGATTGGAGTATTTGATAATGATCAATGAGTTCTTGATACCAAAAATTAGAGTGATGAATATTTCCCGGATAATGTTTGGAAAGACACTTATCATCCTAAATTTTAAAATATTTCATTACATGTAATTATTTTTTTATGTTTAAATAATTTGCAAGATATGTTTATTACATTTATTACATATTTTCATTTTTTTTATTTCCCTCCACGTTTCCCCCCAAAACTTTCATTTCAAGAGACTTTTATTTTTCAATTCCCTCCTATTCTCCCACTCCCCTCTCACGGATTTATCTTTGTTGTCTAGGGTTAATTAATTATATTTTCACAACACCCGCAGATGGCAGTCATGCCTAACCAAACAAACCTATAAGCCCTAACGACTACAAACCCTTTGTTCATCGCTGCTGCACCCACGATCCATGCCACCGTCGTAGATCCTCTCTCTCCATGTTGCAGTTGCCCTCAATGAACTTCGCTCTATGTCACCACCACCACTTCTTTGATCTAGGTCGGCACCTCTATTCACAACCGTCTCTGCCCACAACCGTCTCTTCTTCTCGTTACAGAACAGTTGTTCCTCACATTAGCAGTTAACCAAAGATATCAATTAGAGGTTAGAAGTAGGTCGAGTTCCATTCGACGGTCATCTCTAGCTGTTGTATCTTACGCTCAATCGCAGGTTGTCTCTTACAGTCGGTTATCTCTGTTCAATCGTTCACCATCCCTGCTAAATCGACTCTGCAACTACGATTCTAAAACCGAGAACTCTACAAGTCTTTATGTCTTTATCAGGTCAGCTTCATAATCTCGATTTTTGTAAATATGTGAAGTTTAATTATGAAAATCATGATTCTGAAAATCATAATTTTTGTAAATATGTGAAGTTTATTGTTGTAAATATGTGCACGACAATCCTGAGGATATCACAAAAGAGGAAGCTTGTTTGGCCGCTAACCATGTACACAATCGTAATCTGTAATCTCCATTGATGTTCTTCTAGAGTTACATTTTGCTGATTCAGAATGTGTGTATGTGAGTAGGTGAAAGGACCGGTGTTAGTTGAAGACATTTGTCTCTATTTCAATACTCTGAAAGATTACGGATCAATTTGAGAACCACAGTTAACTTGAAGTCATTATCTTCAAAACTTCTTCAAGAACACTTGTGATTGTCTAAATTAAAAATTCACCAGTTTTTTTATTGTAGGACCTTACATGTAAGTCTCCTTTGCTGCACTTCCTTGTTCATTACATAAACTGATAAAAGAAATTAACTTTCTCTTACATCAATGGATTCATTTCAAGTGGTTTCTCCAAAGGCTTGGTCATGAAGGTACTTAAATCAATTCTATTCAAAATGTGATCTTGATCTGAACAAGTATGTGCGAGGTATTATTCTATTTTTTTGTTTAAATTTTAGTCACAATGCTTCCTTAAGCCATCTAGAGTTGTTTTTTTTGTTTCTTTGTTTTTTTTTCAGGTGAATGAATTTGCTACACATGTAGTTGGTTCCCCTCTAACCGAAGCTGGTGAAGGAGCTACCAATCTTCATGTAGACCATGGAGTTGGTGACCAAGACCTTTCAATGGCCATGCATGAAACGTCAGGGTCAGGGTCAAAGTACATGTTACTAACTTTGAAGCATGGTATGGAATTATTGGAGCCTTTGGTAGATGTGCCTGTTATTTGGTGTCCCTTGATTTTTTGATAGTCTTATTGAAGAAAGACTTTGTGAGGAACCCATTAATGAGTTTGTTCAGAGCTATGATATTGTTGTCTTCAACAAGATCTGTAAGTTCATTGTTTTAATCAAATATTTTTTGTTTTCTTCTTGAAGTTATATGATTGATTAGCTTGCTAATTTGACTGGTTTTGTGATTGCAGAGTTCGATAATGCTGTTGTTGCAATTTTGCTGTTTCGCTATTGTTCTTTCATGTTGTTTTGCTATTACTTTTTTTTGCTGTTTTGAGACTATTTATGTTTAGTTGTTTTGTAGTTTGTTGCTGACATGTTAAATTCAATTTGTTGCAGTTTTGTTGTTTTGAGATCAAGTTTTTTTTAATTGTTTTAGTTTATATCTTGAATTCTTATTCCTTATAAAAGTTAATTTCAATGGCATGTATAAAATAAAAAATATAATATTCAAAAAACCGGGTACCTGGAACTGTTCCGGTCTTGGCGTTTCCGGGTGTGGTTCCAAATTTCTAGGAACCGGTGTAAGTGGTTCTGGTTCCAATACCAATAATTTCATAACTGCCGGTTCTAGATGCGGTTTGGTTCAACTAAAATAGAGGGGTATCCGGTTATGCTCATCCCTATTTTGGAAGACTGATATCTAGTCCTAGAATGATAGTTTTAAGGAAAGATGTTCGAGACTAAACATGATAGTATCAAAGACTAATATTTAGTCTTTGAAATATAGTATCACAGACTAATATGACTTAAAATAGAGATGTCAATGAAAGATTAGAGACAGAATAATATATTATTAAGAGTTGATATTCAGTCCCTAAAAGATAATATCAAGGACTGATATGACGTCAAATTGAGCATTTGATGAAAAAAAATTAGAGACTGAATGAGATATTATCAGATATTGATTTTCTGTCCTTGATAGTTTGATGTATTATGGACTGATTTTCAGTCTCAGATACATAAAAAATCGACTATCTAAGACTAGGTCTTGGGGACTGGCTGGGGACTAGCAAAATCAGTCTCTGATTGTCATCAAAGACTGATTATTGACCATCAGAGACTGATTACGTCAGTCTCTGATACCCTTTTTTCTTGTGGTGCTTCTCGGACCCTTCAGGTGTTGCTGTTGATGAAAAAAAGTACAGAGGAATGATTGGATCACTACTTTATTTAACAGTAAGTTGTTCGGACATCATGTTCTCCACATGTTTATGTGCCAGATTTCAAGTTAATATGAAAATGTCTCATCTCTTGACAGTAAAGCAAATATTCCAATACCTGAAAGGTACAAAGAATCTCAGAATCTGGCACCCAACAAATGAGAGTTTCCTCCTTCAAGCATATTACAATTCGAACTATGGCGGTCTTCAATTGGACAGAAAAAGCACATCCGGTAGCTGTTAATTTTTGGGTGGTCGAATTGTTAGCTGGTCATCTAAGAAACAGAAGTGCATTGCACTTTCAACAACTGGAGTGGAATACATTGTTGTTGCTAGTTGTACATCTCAAGTTCTTGTTGGGTTTTGAGCAATATAACACTCCTATGGTGCACATGCAACACTAAATGCTTTGGATCTATGTTTTCTTTAATTATACATGCATTTTCAATTTTTCCAAATTCACCTAACTAGCAAACAAATTGTCAAATGAACAACACAACTAGTTAGATGACTTACCTCTTAGAAGGACTTGTAGTTCTTGAACTTTGAAAGATTGAGAACCTCAAGTGTGATGCCTCTAATGGTTCACAAACACCAATATGCAAGAGGCACCTTGAGAGAATAAGTTACTTGCACAAAATCAATATCACACTTCAAGAATGGTGTGGCCACCGATATTGGCTCTAGGGGGTTTATTTATAGTGTGGCAAATGCTAGGGTTACACTTTCTAAACCCTAATGACCTTTCATATTACTTAGGATCCATGGGTTAACCTCCATGGACTATCCATGGGTTATCTCATTGGTTTAGCCCATCCTAAATAATCATGGATCATTAGCCCACACTATTAGAATCATTGATTTACATAATCAATCCCCACATATTTAATTAGTCTCTTTTGATCGTAAAATTAATTCCAAATTAATTCTTGATCAATACTAATTAAATAATATGATTTCATATTGATATATTATACTTGGAATATATTAATAAATCATAAATAACCTTATTCTCAAAAGTCCATCCTATCAAATTGCACTGGTGAAGGCAACCCAAAAGGAGCATGCTACAATCGGGTCAAGTACATACCAGTTATAGTTATGGGATTAGACTCCAAATTCAACAGTCTACCACTTGAATAAGTCTAATAACTATAGCTGCCAATGTGACTTCAGGATCCGACTTAGCAATCGTAAGCTTTTAAAAGCCGTTGTCGAACTCTGACTAGTCAGTGACTCGTCCTTTAGATAAGTGATCATATATTCCTCTGTTCTCAATATATCTATGTGGACAAATACATGGAACTTAGTCATACTTATTTTCCTGTAATTTGTTTCCCGATTTCTGATTCGTCTGACATAGAACATAACTGAACACATCAAGTTAGTTCTGACCAGGCCCGACACATAGTCAAAACAGAATCATCGAGGAGCCCAAGATATCTCTTTTAATCCTCTTAGGATAAAAGGGACATATAAACTTCGACATTATATGCTTGTACTAACTACTCATTAAGTCATGCACAACGATACGTTTTATAACATCAAGTTACTGATGCGTTTTCGTATCATCAATGTACAACCAACTCGTAGTCAACAACTCATATATCTTAGTTTGAAGATTATATGATATTATCGTCTCACAATCACTCGTGATAAATTCCATGAAGTGATTCAGGTGAGCGCGGGTTGAATCCAATATTCAAATCTTATTTCAGGAGCACTCATGAATGGTGGAGCACACTTTTGCTATGTCTAACGCCTTAGACAATCTACAAGCCAACTCATGAAAATCTTCTTTCATACTTACTTCCAACGTATGATCGACTGTGGATAGTTTGAATAATTTTATTATTCAGGAAGTCAAAACATGCAAAGTGAAACAAGAGAATGATACTAATCCTATATGGTCCCAAAACTTTTAAGTGTAAATAAACCACCTTTTAGTTAATCACCATATTGATTACACATTATTCACTGTATATTGTTTCGATTTATCAACTAATACTTGAATTAAAACAATAGTTATCCCATGCTCCAAGCATGCACACTCTATTTACCTACGGTCCTTACTTTGTGAAATATATCAATTGTAAACGTTTCCAACGATACTCATTTCACAATTCCAAATCCTTATCGTAAGTGTAAGAATTCCAAGTTCTTGCCACTTACTGTAATTTGTTAGATTCTAAACTTATATGCAGTGATCCTTTTGTAATGACTATGTACACAAGTCACAGAGACTTTGTCAATTACAAAACTTTCCATTGGAGATTGTTACAAGACAATTCCATAGATCCAAAGTCTCATATTCAAAGCACATTCCTTTAAACATCCTTCTTGCATAAACGTTTATAACTTTCTGATAGATTCTTGATATCCAACTCCCATTATGGAAACATTTCCATATTTGCCATATGACAACTCATTGTTAATAGAATCATGTCTATTCATAATAATATCAATATGGTCCATCCATTACTAAACTTCCAACTATCCAGAAGCAACCAATCATTGCCGAACCTTGGATTGTTCTTAACAGTTGTTTAATAACATTAGTCATATCTAGTTCTAGTCCTTTTTCCCTCTTAATGCCCTAGGCATTTGAAAAATTAGAACACATGAATATTACTGCATATGCAATCGATCCTATACCCGAAGCATATGGGATATGATTCATAATTTCTTACACAAAGACATGATACTTGACCAGTCTTTTTCTATAATATTTCCATATATAGAATTTCCAATGTTGAAGCATTTCAACATGGTATTCATATAAATCCTTGACTAAATTTGATTAAAATCTCAATTTAAACTTTTAGAATTGAAATGAAGTATAAGTTTCTCTCCCTTAATTATAGCAAAACAACTTTTTCAACCCTACAACTTTGCGAATTGAAAACTTTGTTTTCTATAATTAACATTGCTAACTCGCAACACTTACCATAATAATTATGCTCCCACTAGCATAAAAATTATTTTGTTACTTGCATAACATTTATGCTCCCACTAGCTGTGACATAAATCCAAAAATCAACTGGACTTATAGAAATCAATACTTTATTGACTTTTTTTTACCAAAGTTCAGAATTCTAACATGAGATGTTTTGATAAGCCTTTATCTAAGCTCACACACCTTTTATTAGAAAGCTCATATGTATGTCTAAACAATTTTAAAACTTACAACAACAAGTCTCAAATGTTTAGACCTTTTGCCATTTCTCGCAATTCGAACTATGAAGAGGGATGTCGTAATCATAATCGAATTTGAGAAAGAAAATATCACAAATGCTATCTCTTTAAAATATACTTAGTGAAAATGTTTCCTCACAATCATTTTCATGAACCTGACAGAAACCTTTGTCACTTAGATTTTATGGTGTATGTGTTCCTATCCATGTGAATTTGTCAAAACCATAATCACAAGACAAGGTTATTGACAAATCCAAACTCATATGGACTAAACTTGTTCAATCTTAATTTCTTGCCATCTGGCAGCTCAAGGGCCTACCATTTCTTCCAGGTTGTTATGCAAACAATTGAGAACTCATATAACTCACATGCATAGTCAACTTCAAATGGAATGGGCACGGAAACAAGAATATGTCAACACGATAGGTTATAAACCTCAAATCGTGTGCTAGTGATTAACAATAAGATTACTCTTGATTAGTTCTCGAAACTTTTTAAGATCTTTAAGACTCCCACTGACCTTTTGACATATAAGATTCTATTTGTCAAGAAACATTACTTGACAACAAATATTCAAGAGTTAGTGCGATTTCTTATCAAGACAAACACTTTTGCTAATCGGTCGTAGTTGATCTTTGTTTTATCCAAAACATTACA